TTCGCTCATGTCTTCTATAAGATGAACAATTTCTTTTCCTTTGGCAAAGTAATCTTGTGGGGTGCCCCAATCGCGCCCCCATCGCGCAATATTCCGGTGAGAAGTTTCGAAATCATCTGTTTTCCTTTTCTTGCTTCTCGCGGCATCTTTCTTCTCGCTCTTCTCTTTAAAAGGGGGAGATTGCAACTGTTTTGGTCGTTGAGGGCCAAATGAGGAAAAATGCATTACACCATGACTTGATTGTACTCCAGAAGGAGAAGTGTGTGTCTCTGCAACAAGTGGATTAACGCCAGCAAGACTAGAATTACCTTTTACTCTCTTAGCAGCAATATCTTCGAGCTGTTTTAATCTGGAAGACATTGAGCTATCTGCAAAGTAAAAAATACAATATATTTCAGATCAAAAGTTGATAGCGCAAAGGATAAAAAGTTAAAAGCGCAAACGATAAACCAATTGAAATGCAATAATAAACAAATCATTTACCCAGAAGACTCTAATATCCTCTTCGGTGTATTCATTCAAGATGGTGAAGGCGCTTAACAATTCAGTATCTGATACATTTCGCGCAATTTCATATAGATTATTGTCAGTTTTTCGCTCATAGTCATTCAAATATGAATATGAAATGTTCAGTTTATATTCATATGATAAATATATGGTCCAGTATAGGGGAAATAACGGAGTATTGTCCTCCTAACTTAAGAAAAATGGATGACAATCCCTCGCAGGATAAATCTTAAAGTAGTCAGTGGTCCAATTGTGCACCCTCATCTGATACACTTCACAAAATTTATGGTTCACATTTCCCCTGAACGACACCCAACTTTTTCGGGAACCAAAAATACTGAACATACATAAAAAAGACTCTGTCGACATGACCATATTATAGGCTTTACACACCATCTCGTATACTCGAATAAACATCCACGCGTTTGCATGTAGTTAAGATGGTGCCACTTGAATGTGTTGGAATAGCTTTACAACAAAAGATAAAAAGGGAAGGCGCACTCTAAGAGTCAAAAAATAGTAGTTGTACATCATGAGAAAATGTTTAGATGAGTTGCTTGCGCTCCAGGAGCAAACACGCTCATTCTTAGGCACAACTGACAATTCTCATCTATCATCTTCGGCTTTATCCTGGGTTAAATGGATGGCAGTGCCCAGTTGTTCAATTTTCTTGGGTAAACTGAAGTAGGACACAGTTTCCTTCATAATTTTGGAAACCCATTCTAAATTCGACGCATCACAAACACCAGAATTACTTGTTTCTGCAGTATCCTGGATTTGACGCTGTTTATTTTCAACATCAACATTGTGCTTGGCCATGATATCCATGATTTTTGGAGGAATAAGATCTACGTTAAAAGATGATGAATTAGTGGAATTGAAAGAAGCGAAAGAACTGAAAAACGAAGGATTGTACCTCTCTTCAAATCTTCATTTTTTAAAGGGATACCCCGCAGGATATACAACACATAAGGGAATAGGGCTTGGGCTATGATTTTTAGCAGGATCATTATGCACAAAACTTGAAGGATTATTGCGCTCGAAATTTGTGTAATCTGTGCTCAAATAGTCTTCAGGATCGAGGGGAGAGTTACTAGGTGATTCGCGCAGATTAGACGCGGGGCTAGGCTAGAATCACTTGAAATGGAAATTGGGTTTGCAAGTTTGTTTGGCATAGAAATCTTTAATGAAGGAAGAGTGGAAGAACTTTGTTGAGACAAAGCTCTGGATACCCCGCATTTAGATTTTTGAGAAGAGGATCCTCCTTCATATCCTCGTAATGTTGGAGGAAAGCTTCCCTCAAGCTATGCCTTTTCCCAGGGTGAAATTCCTTTACCCATCAGCCATCATTCTTTAGTTCCAAAGAATTTAGACCTAGGGAAGGTTCTTAGGGGGGGGGGGGCTCGTTGAGTCAGATCTCTCGGTTATTCTAAAAAAGGCAGTGTATCGATGTTCGTTAAACATTCTCTTAGAGAAACCAAACGAGATGAAACCCTTCACCGTAGAAAACCCAGACAAAGTAGAAAGACTCAAAGAAGGTCTAAATACAGTAAGATGGAGAGAAGAAGAATGAACATACCTGAAATTTATATTGCACTTTTGGAAAGAGCTTTGAAGCAAGACGTGTCGTCTGAGGAGATTTGAAGTTGGGACGATGACGAATAGTACTCAATGGGAGTTTTAGAAGAGGATTCTCGCTTGATAAACGTTTTTCCTCCACGAATAAAGAGCAGTACAAATACAAAAAGTCACCGAGGGATTTTTGGGTAAAAGCATTAGTTAAAACGGTAATTGTAGGGCACGTGTTCAGAAGACGAAAGGATTAAAGCTTAAATCATCCCACGTTGACAATTATAACCCCCACATAATTGAAATAATCAATGCGAAATAAAGGTCTTATCAACCATTTCTAAGCAGCAGGCTAATGATGGTATTTACATTGTCTGAATTAATCAATGCAGAATAGAGTATATAATGCATAGAGGGTAATAGTAACTCATCATGCAAAGTGGCTATGGAATATAACTTTAGTATCTCACACCTCATGCTTGCAAGCATGAGCTGCGAGATGGGGACTATTGATCTGGATAACATATAGGCCCATGAGGTTTAAAGCCCAAAAAGGGCCTATGAAGGCGTAATGATCACATTGCACAGAATACACACACCAAACAGTGCGCGAACTATCATGTAAAGCCGCCTTATATAACTTAAAGACTAAGAAATGTCTTAGTAACAAGCTGAGTTCCACCACGCATAAGGGCCAACACAAGAAAGACAACTCCAACTTGCCACTACTATAAGAAGACAGACTATTATATAGACTTGTTCACCAAGAAAATAGCCAGAAAGACACCAACTAAGACAGAAAGGTAGCAACCCACAACAACCAATAAAAAGATATGCCGCCTACAAAAGGCGGCACAAAGCTTACTATAAATATGAAGGGAACAAACCCAAGTATGATCATCTGATTCCAATTAACTTTAACATATACCTAGCATTGATACTGACTTGAGCGTCAGAGTGTCTTTGCAGGTATCCTCAGTCACTTCCATTGCGCCAGAATTTCACTACTGCCCATACACGAAGAAGTACATACCACTATAGATTCAAGCCCTCTTGATACAATTCAAAGTTCAAGGTCTTCAACCTTCAACCTTCAACCGTGTATAATTTGGCTCAATCAAATTTGGACCGGTCAGATCAACACTATTGAAGAAAAAAAAAGAATAAGAATATTTGAATTACTCGATATCTTTTCCTCTAATATTGAGTCCTAGTATAATTTTAAAAACAAAATAATAGATAGGGTACATTTGAAGAAATCAACATGTCAACTTATGGTTTTCTTTACTATAATTTTACGATGAATAAAGATATATATACTTTGTCTTAGACTTCTAGTCTCCTAGATTCCGATCCAAATGAATCGGTTTGGTATCAATTCAATTAGGATTTCTCAAGAATTAAACCAAGTCATTATCAAATCATAATTTATGATTTGATTTAATTTAAAAAATATTTAATCGGTATTTCAGATAAAATCTCTTAAGAATAAAATAACAATGATGATAAGAAAAATATATAATTTATGAGATTAATAAAATCTCATAAAAATATGTAAAACTCATGTAAAGTTATAAAAAGAGAAGAGAAAAAAAATATAAGTCCGATATATTTTTATGTATGTATAAGATATAAGAAGTATGAATTCCATACTTATTTTTTTTTTTTTTTAAATTACTGATTGGTTCTATTTTATTTAATAGGTTCACAATTCACGTCACATCACGCGGTTTGTTGTTGACCGTCTAAACCTCCATTTTCCGAGGCCCACCATATCCCAACTTGCGATTCTTCATCAATATTAATTAAAAAGGGATACGGTGGAGAATAAGTTAAGATTGTTTGTGTTATTTTAATTTGAATTTATTGATAATGATGTTATTTAAAATATTTATCTTCAAAATATTAATATCAAAATTTGTTTCTTTTCCTTCTCGAACTTTTGAAGAGTTAATAAATAATATTAGATGAAGATTATATTTATAAAAAAAATTTTCTTAAAATTTCTTATAATTAAATCTCAACTCTTTATTTTTATTAATTTAACGATTATAATTTATTATAAATTAATAAATATAACCTAATAAAATATAACTGTCAAACTAACAAAAATTAAATGTTAAAATTTAATTGTAGGAATTAGTAAATTTTTGTTTATAAATATAATATTTTTCTAAATTTTATTAACCTAATCCACATAATTTAGAGTTTAGAGGGTCGCAGCACAACTACCCGTAATTAGCTTCAATTAAACGTTTAAAACACATTAAAGAGAACCGATCAAATCCTTATGTTCAAGATTTTCAAAAGAAAAAATCTCGGAACTACGTATACCTATTATTACAAGAGGTAAGATATCCTAACTATTAAAAATTCTCACTATTAATTATTAACTTATTATCCATCATATCATTATTAGATCAAAAAGAGAACGTTAAAAAGTGTTTGAAGAAAGAGAAAATGTTAATGTAACAGTAATTAGATAGATATTAAGTTGATAGTGAAAAATTTTGATAGTGAGAATATCCCTTCTCTTATTACAAATCCACAAAGAAAAAAAAAATCAATAAAATTTATAGGGCTAATCACATCATTAATTAATCACGAACTGTCAATGATATTAAAAAATTGAAAATCGATATCGAATCTACGTCCTAGATTTATGCAAGAAGTTATGGTTGATACATTATTTTATGGGAAATCATTTTCTTATGTAATAGGAGATAGTTTTCTCATGTTGTGAGACATCGAAATTCGTGCTATCTTTTTAGTTTTTTCTTCTTTTTTAATAAGTGGTAGGCCCCACCACTTATTGTGTCTATGACATGAGAGATGATATCTCATGTGACATGAGAAAAGAGAAGCCCATATTTTATTATTAACATACCTCAAATTAAAAAAAGAAGTAGAAGAAGAAGCTATAAATAAATAGAGAAAGGTGAGTGGAAATTCTGTGGAGGTGCTTTTCTTTGGGGTTTTCCATTGAATTTTCTATTATTGGGAGATTCCAATTCAAATCTTTCTGTCTTTCTTTTCCTTCTGAGTTCAATCACCCACAACTTGTGAATTGTGATTTCCCCAGCGATCCCTTTCTTATATCTTCGATTTTCCTTTCTTCTCAAAGGAAAATCCTAGATTTCTATTTTTCCTTCTCTCTCTCTAAAAACCTCGATTTTCCAACGAAACAAACAGTTTCCGATCCGATCTGAGAAAAAAAAATGGCGGAAGAACATCGATGCCAAGCTCCACGACTCTGCACCAACAATTGTGGCTTCTTCGGAAGTCCGGCGATGCAGGATCTTTGCTCCAAATGCTATCGAGATTTGCAGATCAAGGAACAGCAATCTTCCTCCGCTAAATTGGTTCTCAACCAATCCCTAGCACCTTCGCCGCCGTCTCAGGCGGTTCTGTTGCCGTCTTCTTCCTCTTCGTCGCCGCAGGAACCGGTCGTTGCTCCTTCTTTCGTTGAGGAGAAGAGCGGATCGGCGGCGCAGCCGAATCGGTGCGTGACTTGCAGGCGGCGCGTGGGATTGACGGGCTTCAAGTGCCGGTGCGGGTTGACGCTGTGCGGGTCGCACCGGTACCCGGAGCAACACGGGTGCGAGTTCGACTTCAAGGAGATGGGAAGGGAGCAGATCGCGAAGGCAAACCCAGTGGTGAAGGCCGAGAAACTTCACAAGATATGAACATGGGTATTATGGTCATTTCAAAATTGGTTATCATTGAAAAATATGAAAAAAATTTTCGGATCTGATAATCCGGGTCGGACGCTCCGTCCACAGTCGGGTCATATAGTTGGTGGTTTAGGGTGGGTCGGGGATCCTTATCGTTACGTGGTTGTGTTATGTGTAAATTGATTAAATAAATATTTTAATTTCAATTATTTATAGCCTTTGTTTTTTTCTTTTGTCAAAAAAGTTTTTTAAGTTTTTCTTTTCCGGTATTCGTTGCCATTGCCAACTTGCCATGTGCGAGAAAAAGCGAGCAATTTAAAATTAGAGGTTGATAGGTCATGATTTGGGGTGAAAGTAGGCTGAGCTGCGCCAAGCTTTGTTCCGAAAAGTTCAAGTATACGCCAAAAAATTTCAATATGGCCTGGCTCAAACTTAGTACGAGTCTAATTGTTAGCCTGACTTGACCCGTTTATAAAAAAACAAATGGCCTGGCCTAGTCCGTTAGCCTGTTAATTTTTAATTTCCAAGCGGAACCATGAAGCAGCTTTACAAAATATTCAAATTCTGCTGTTAAACCATAATTTCAACATCCAAACAAAATCATGAATCACAACAAAAACTAATACAATCTGTACTTAAGTCACTTTCAAAAGCAAAATGCTCAAACTAAATAACATATATTTCACCAGATCCAACAAACAAATTCATACTATGTAAATTAAAATAACTACATGAATCCAACCAACACATTATGATGCTTGTAGTAAGCATAATCTCTCCCAAAATCCTTTTAATTTATTCATATATACAATCTAATATGCTAAGATGTTAGTTCTTCCTACATAAGAAATAAAATTAGATTTATATTAAAATATAATAAAATATAATTAAATTATAAATAATTGTAATTGATTAAATTCATATTTTTTGTTTTTTCTTCAATGCATACTTAATATATTTTATTTATTTAAAATAAATAGTACAATATAGGCCGGCTTGTAGGCTTATAGGTCAGGTCTTGTGAAAGTGAGTCTACGACCTTTTTATTAAACAAACTTTTTTAATGCCCAAATCCAGCCTATTTTACGAAATATATTAGGTCAGATCTGACTTGACGTAGGGCGAGTCATAGGTCCCTGTAGACCAACTCGGTCCATGTAGACCGACCCGACCCAATTTCACTCCTAGTCATGATAGTCATAGATGACGCGAACCATTCATAAATTTTATTGTTTTGGGATAAACAAAGCCCGAGCTAAATACAGTAATATACGCTTACAAAAAAAAATACAGTAATATATTAGGTCAGATGACGTTTGAATATGCACTTTTTTCATAATTTAAAGGGATTAATAATTCTGATAAACCGTTGAAGGAAGTTCCAACATTCGAAATTTATCTTCTCATATTTTATTCATTATGACCGTGAGGAAATCATATCATCATATTATATTAAGGTAAATTAATGATGATAATTTTATAATTTATTTTAATATATATATATATATATATATTTATCATTATTGATTTATTTTTTTATGATTATAATTCCCTCACATGATATATCATGTTAATTAATACATGATAGGATCCACTCCAACATAAATATTGACATTTTTATTTTTTTGACAAACCTTGGTATATTTTTAATTCATAAAACAAAATTTTACATTTTAAAACTTAGGGCTTATTTTATGTAGTGAACATTTCTTTTTCTTTTTTGTTTCTGCCATTACTACCAATTCACTTTTGTATTGCCTTTCGTGCCACACTCGTGACATTAACCCAGTAGTTACATTCTCCATTTCTTGCTATATATTACGGGCAGAACACCACCACTAGTTCTAGCTTCTACAAGTCCAATTAGGGCTCTGCAAAAAAATTGGTTCACTTGTCCTGCCCTTGATCCGACCTTGACCCGACCCATAAATATCCATATTTTTTGAACTGGTTTAAATACTGACCCACTTTTATTTGGGTCAGTTTTAGACCTGACTCGTTTTAATATTGACCAACTGACCCAAAACTTGACCCATACCCATTATGTAAAAAAAAATCACAATTACATTAAAAGAAAAGTTTTAACGTAAAACAATTACGTCAAAATTTTTTATGGAAAATATTTTCATAAAAATTTTACAGATTTCAAATTTCTGCGAAAGTTTTCAACGGAAATATTTTCGTCATCAAAAAATTTTGACGGCAAAAAATTTCATCAAAATTCTTTACAATTTCAAATTTTGGCGAAAGTTTTCGACGGAAACATTTTCGTCATCAAAAAATTTTGACGGCAAAAAATATCGACGACAAAAAATTTCATCAAAATTCTTTACAGATTTCAAATTTTGGCGAAAGTTTTCGACGGAAATATTTTCGTCATTAAAAAATTTTGACGGCAAAAAATTTCATCAAAATTTTTTACAGAATTCAAATTTTGGCGAAAGTTTTCGACGAAAACATTTTCGTCATCAAAAAATTTTAACGGCAAAAAATATCGACGGCAAAATATTTCATCAAAATTCTTTACAGATTTCAAATTTCGGCGAAAGTTTTCGACAGAAATATTTTCGTCATCAAAAAAATTTGACGGCAAAAAATTTCATCAAAATTCTTTACAGATTTCTAATTTTGGCGAAAGTTTTCGACGAAAACATTTTCGTCATCAAAAAATTTTGACGGCAAAAATATTCATCAAAATTCTTTACAGATTTCAAATTTCGGCGAAAGTTTGCGACGAAAAATTTTTCGATAAATTTTTTGACAAAAAAAAATTTTCGTCGAAATTTTTAGCGAAACACATTTGAATCGAAAATTTTCAACTAAATATTTTCGTCAAGTTTTTTGATAAAAAATTTCCATCAAAATTTTCCACGAAACACATTTCTATAAAAAAATTCCGTAAATTTTTTTGACAAAAAAAACATTTTGACGAAAAAAATATTCTGTCAAAATTCTTTAGAGAATCTAAATTTCGTCGAAAGTTTCAAATGAAACATTTCCCTCGAAATAATTTTCGTCAGAACACATTCCCATCGAAATTTTTAACGAAAAACATTCCGTTAAATTTTTTGACAAAATTCTTTTTTCGTTTAAAACATTTGATGGAAGAAATCATTTTCGTCAAAACTGTTGACGGAAACTAAATTTCAATAGAAATTTTTTTTTTTGTAAAAATGTCGACGAAAAAATAATTTTGTGACGAAATTTTCTTCTTTTGCAACGTAAAAATTTCGACAAAATTTTGTGAGAAAACCTAGTCAAAAACGGGTCAGGTCAGATTTGACCCAGTTCAGAAACCAAGTCAGACCCACTTCAGAAACCAAGTCAGGTCAGATCCAAACTGGTTTTGAACTAGTTCAACAAAATCCAATCCAAGTCAGAACTGACTTGGATCAAATTAAAGCGGGGCGGGTCAAAATACCTGACCTATAAAAACCAAGTTGGGTCGAGTCGGACAAAAACCTGACCCGACCTGACCCATGCACAGCCCTAAGTCCAATGCACATCTTCTTATACTGTTTTTGTTGGATTATCATCAGATCTTCATGTAGTCTGAATATATACTCCTTCAGGGTTCCTGTTAGATTTTGGATTTTTGACAATATCTGATCAACATTTGTTTATACTAAATGTTACTTTTTACTCTCTTTTTTTTAATCTTCTTCAGCACTTTCTTCAATCTCCCTTAGAAGACTGATGCCTAGTGCCTCCATCTGAATGAATCGTAATGTTTTTATTTTAGACATCCTTATCAAACAGAAGCATCAAGTGACATGTTTGAGAAATTGCTAGAGGCTGCTCCTAGAGACAGTCCTCTTTGGTAATTATTCATAATCTTCTGCTTCTTCCCAATAGTTGCAATCTTCTTCATATCCCAATAACAGGGCCGTACTTCTTAAAAACGTAAGTTAGCTTCCCATTTTTATCAAACTTTTTATGGAAATCTCCTTGTCTTCTTTGATAGGACTCATAAAAATTGTAATATGGAAATAGCTACCGTTGAATCGAGAGCTTGCTACTAGGTCAAAAATTATAGTTGTTAATCAGAGCGTAATTCTTTCTATCCCTTGTAGCTCAAGTGTCATATTTCGATTTGACTCGAATCCCACACTGAATCTTATACCAAATATTGGATCAAGTGACTTACCTCGCCACAATTTATAACTTTTAAGGGTTTTATAATAGTTATGTTGTAGGAAAAGTGATTGTGTAATGTTATAGAGATTCGTTTTGCGTGCCTTAATTTTTTATTTATTTTTTTGTTTTAAAAAGTATGGGTCCCACAAAATATTGTGAGAGTAGGAAAGTTTGTTGTATCATGTTAAAGGATAATAGGAAAACCCAACTTTTAATCAGGGTGTATAACTGTTTCTACTTATTCCTACAAATCCAAACACCATAATCCGATCTGACTCCAACGATCACCCTTTTATAGTACTCCCACCCGCGGTAACAAATTAACGATCATTCCTCCTGAAGGCAAAAATTGCAGGTAGGTAAGGTAATTGGTGATGTGAGATGGGTTCATAGGGGTAAGCGCGGTTCGACCCGGTTCAATCTTTTTATTATAAACCGAATCAAAAAAGTGTTAATGTCGTTTTGGAATTGGAATATTAAATAATTATAATTATAAAGATTATAATAACTTTGAAATAAATTAAAATCATAAAAATATCATAATTTCCGTCCTAGATTGACGTCGTATTGCTCGCTCTAGTGAGCGAGCGTTACACTTTTTATTTTATTTATTATTTAATTTCTGTTTTTCCATTATTACGCAAATTCCACTTATCATATTGGTACTTTGTTATTCTAGTCCAAATAACCTGAAACAACAACAAATATTTAAAATCTTATCCATTTATTAGCAATTTATTCTATTTTACTGTTTTGTTGTTTTAACACTATATTTTTAATTATTTTAATAATTATTTGGATAACACAGAAAAAACGAACCCTTTATTCTTAGCTGAATTAGTGGAGTGGTTCTATTCTAGCTTTATAAAAATGGTTCAATTCTTGGATAGGATCAAAAAAATTAATCCGACTTTTGAACCAGTTCAAAACAACTATGGTTCTTTTGGTTCGATCAATTCAGTTTAGTTTGGTTCGTTTGTTTTTTTTTTTTTCACGCTCGTACAGGATGATAAGTGAGAGTGTGGCTCTGACAA